GGGGGCGGCCGGGTCACCTTAAGGTGACCTACGGGCGACCGGGTCACCTTTGCGGTAATCTGTGTTTTTCGGTCTTCTCGGCTGCTATTTTGGACTTGGGCCTCCATACTTGGCGTTGTTTTGTTAGTTTTTTTATCACCTCTTCCTTTTGTAATTTTTGTGCCTCTTGAACGAGAATCCGCGCATGTGGGAGTAGTGCGTGACACTTCTGAATACACTCCTCGAGAATTGAATGGATCTTTTTGTCGCGGACCTATTCATTGGTTAATGGTTTGGAGGAAGAGCTATTTTCTCACTGCTGAGGCGCTTGGCGTTTCCTGAATTCTAGATCCGCCTTATAACGAATCCCGTCAACCGGCTCCAAGGCCTTGGCTAATTGACGCGTGAGGCATTGGCGCTGCCTTTGACGAGCCCTCTTTGATAAAATCGGCACACCTTCAGCACTCGACTCCTTGATTGAGAAGGAGTTCAAATTTACAGATCCGGCTTCATTGGACGCCGGATGAGCGTTGCAAGGCGCAACTGTAGCAGCAAATGGGACGATGATCATCACCCTAGGTCTTCAAATCTGAAGACCAGCAGACCTTCCTAGAGGAGATCTTCTTGCACTTGCGAAGGGAGGAGGATCTGTAGGAAGACGACATGTATTCCTCGTACTTCTGTTGGTCGAACTTGTACTCGACTTCTGTATCAACCAGGATTAGGATCCTTGGTTATGACACTATAGCCTCGGCAGAGAGGCCGTTGGCTCTCACTGTGGTCACCAACGTGTTTGATTCGAAAGTTGGTTTTTTCATTGTAGGACTCATTACAACTTCAGTCGTTACAATAAGTTCAAAAGGAAGGACTTTTTATAAAATTCCTTACATAATAAAAATAAAAAAATTACAACTTTCTTTAAAAACACACGCAGATGATGTTTATCACCCGCTGCTCGTGTGGGGTCTTTGCCTGTGCCGGAGTTTATCCGTGAACCACCACTGATCTGATTCGGTTGATCAGAAGGCTAAATATCCGTTGCTTCACGAAGGAAACAAGAACAGAAGCAGATAATCTCAACCAAGTGAGATTACTACTCTTCTCGAGATCAGTACAAATTCTGATCTCAAGAAATGACGAAACGAGCCTCAGATCCTTTGAATAGCTCCTTCTTTATGCCGGAGTTCGCCAAGATCCCGCTAGCCTCTCTGAAATTCGTGGATCACTCTTCACAGGGACACCTCGCCTAAATTTCCCGATCCTCAGATCCCCTGTGTATAGGACCCTAGACTTATATTTATAGGCTTCAATTGCAGTGTTTTTGGATAAGAACAAGTGATTTGGCATCATCTTCAATTAATAATAGACTAACCACATTTAGGGATGATATCCAAGCAGTTAGGAGGCTCTGAAACGAACAAATCCCGAGAAAACATCGAAATACGTGTTTTCGAGAACCGGTGTGCGAGTCAGTTCAATGTGACCTGCGGGTGTGAGAGTCACATTACGGTGACTCGCATGAGTGCGGGTCACTTTGATGCGATTTCCAAGCGACTATGTCTTGTTTTGGTCTTGTTCAGTCGTTTTGTGCACGTTTCGACGTTTGTTTGACTTGTATGCTTTCCCGACTCACTTTGCTTCTCTAGGTATCGGATGTTTGCGTCGAAAATTGTTGTATTCATTGTGGTATTCATTACAACTTCGGTCGTTACAATGAAAACAAAAAAAGATAATCTTTTTATAAGATCTTTACACAATGAAAACAAAAGTTACAACTCTCGTCAAAACAAACGCAGAGATCGTTTATCGGTCTTCTGCTTGTGTGGGATCTTTGCCTGTGCCGGGGTTTATCCGTGGACCGCCTTAGATCTGGATCCGGTTGATGGAAAATTCGGCAGAGCTTCGCCTTCGTCGAGGAAGTATTTGATTTGAAGCGCTGAGATCGACCAAGCGAAATCATGGCTCTTCTCGAGATTAAGACCAAGCCTAATCTCAAGGGACGGACGGGAATGGGCGTCGGATCTCTCGAACTCTCCTTCGTTATGCCGAAGAACTCGCCAAGATCTGTTAACCCTCGCTGAAATTCGTGCTCCTTTGACTCCACAATCCGGCAGCACCTCCTCGTCTTGATAATCAATCGCCCCAGAAAATGGAGGCCTTTGGTTCATATTTATAGGCCTCAAAATGCGGTTATTTGGATAAGAACAAGGGATTTGGCTCTATCTTCAGTCAACAGCAGCCTAACAACGTTTAGGGATGATCTCAAGTCAGTTAAGAACCCCTGAAACCGATAAACCCTGCAAAAAACCAATTTAAAACTGTCAAAACGTGTTTTGGAACTTTAGACTGCGCAACAGGACAATCCGACCCGCGCTCGCGCGGGTCGGATTGATCCGTCCCGCGCTCGCGCGGGTCGGATCATTCCGTCCTGCGCTTAGCGCGGGTTCGCCGACTTTTTCCCTTTTTTTCAGCGCGGCAGACTGGTCTGACCCGCGCTTGCGCGGGTCGGATCAGTCCGACCCGCGCTTGCGCGGGTCGGATCAGTCCGACCCGCACTTGCGCGGGTCGGACAACTCCGACCCGCGCTTGCGCGGGTCGGACCAATCCGACCCGCGCTCGCGCGGGTCGGATCAGTCCAGGCGCTTGTCGGCGTCAGATAATCCTCTTAGACTCGGATAACAATGTCCGTCGTCTTCTCTCTGTCTCGAGCTGTGTGTGGATACCTATAGGCATTTTTAGACGCCTACAGATACCCCCTCCAAAGTATTCTAGACTCATTCTTTTATAGAGGAGTCTGGAATGCTTTGGATAAGATAGGCCATCTCCTCTATTTCGTAGAGCGACCTTTAACTACCTCAATTCTTAACTTCTTCAGCCTTCAATCTATTCATTGTTCCATCGAATAGATGAAGTTCTTCCGGCGCTGCGTTTATCGTCTGACCGTTGTCGAAATCTTGAACTGAGATTGGTGTGTAAGTTTCTGAACTTAGCTCGTGCCATTGAGTTGACTTTGAACTAATCCTCTCCGTCAGAAATTCATATCTGATTGTAACTGAAATCCTTGGAGTCATCTTTTGCCTTATTTTGGCGAAATTGCTGATGCGTTGACCGGCATCGATCTTTACTGTAACGCGTTGACCGGCGTTAACACAGTTTATACTCGTACGTTTGCTAGAGTCTACACAGTTTAAGCTCTTAAGGCATTGGAGCGTGACGATCCCGAATGTTGGGCTGCAGGACCAACTATTAAAGCTGATTCATCTGCACGTGTGGATCTTATCCTGAAGTTTGTTGGATGCTCAAGTCATGAGACCAACTAATGAAGCTGATACGTCAATGACTCGCATTTATAGAATTTTTGGCAAATTCTCAGCCATCAACGGGTTTGATAAGCCTTTACCGACTACCGTTTGAGTCGGGCTAGCACACAGATTGTTTAAGTCCGTTCCGCATGTGACGTTATGCTAAAAGAGTTAACTCTTTTAGTGCTACGATATTGAATACGTAGACTTCGTCTTTCTCCTGTGAAAAGACTAAACAGCGACGTGTATCAGACGTAGACTTTAAGGTTTTTGGCAAACCCTCAGCCTTCAACGGATTTGGCGTGCCTTTACCGATTACCGTTTGAATCGGGCTTGCATGCGGATTGTTTAAGTCCGTTCCGCACGTGACGTTGTGCTAAAGGAATGAACTCCCTTAGACTTGATGCTACGATATTGAATACGTAGACTTCGCCATTGTTACGGGAATAGGCTACCCGACAACGTGTATTAGACGCTGACCTATCCCTACTTAGGCTTCGGGATAAAAGTCCCCAGATTGGAATTCTGGTGTCTTCTTCAATCGGTGAAAGACTAAACCGGCAACGCGAGTTAGGCGTTGACTTATCCCTACTTAGGGTTCGGGATAAAATTCCCCGCGCGTGTGAAGCACGGATTTTGGCGTTATGAATAACGACATGCCACAATGTCGAATATGTGGACTTTTGTCCTTTTCACGGCAAAAGACTAACCGGCAACGCGTGTTAGGCGTTGACTTATCCCTACTTAGGCTTCGGGATAAAATGCCCCAGACTGGATTCTGGTGTCTTTTTCAATCGGTGAAAGACTAAACCGGCAACGCGAGTTAGGCGTTGACTTATCCCTAATTAGGGTTCGGAATAAAATTCCCCATGCGTGTGAGTCGCGGATTTTGGCGTTATTAATAACGGCCTGCCACAATGTCGAATATGTGGGCTTTTGTCAATTGTGTCTTTTCTCAGGGTAAAGACGGACTGGAAAATGGAAGAGGAAGAATTTTATATTCTATCTCCCGGCACTG